ATACGGTCATTAAAATTATTGTCATGCATGCATATGTTTTGCCGTTTCATCGCCTATTTAAAATAAATTCTCAATGTCTATAGTGTATTTGCATAATATTATTAAATTAGGATTTGCAAATTACTGTTCATTGAAAAAGAATAGTGCTTAACAAATTTCAAAATTCAAGAATGAAATTGTATTTTTGCAAGTATTAATATAACAAACATTTTCCCACTTAAAATACTGCATCAATTAATGAAAATAATGTTCCACCAGTTTCTTATTTCATGAAACGCATCGCATGAAAACTTAATTGGATTTAAAATGGCATCTTGTCTTAAATTTTGATGAAAGAAATATTGCACCAAACGAAAGGAAACCAACTTTTGCATTCCACTATATCGGGTGACACACCTAAGCGAATGACATATTTTGAGGATAAAATCTAATATGCATAGGTACACGTATACCAAGATTGACCTACCACTTTTGTCCCAATAAACACTGATTCCTAGAATTAAAGACAAATCTTCGACAGTAAAATGTGTGCTAGTTTCCTGTCTTTCTCGTTCATACTTGAAGGTGCAATCCAATTGATCATTTGCCTCATTTTCCGAGAAGTTGTCTTAAGAATTCAAATATTGACTTCAAATTAGTTGAATTAAGCAATCAATGAGATTCAAAATGACTCACTGCAAATTTGTTTAGGACTTTTCCGTGTAACTTTCCCATTTTCCCATAAACACGAAGTGTAGACTCCTTTCCGTAAGTTCAACTTAAACAGAACGAAATAATTAGATTTTTAATATGAGTTCAAAACTAAATTATAATTTGCGATGCAACGTTATCATCTAAATTGGTAGCAGCTTAGTTGTTTTCAACCGAATTACAATTCAATGTAATAAAACATATGGAGATTTTTTTCATTTTAAGGTTAATAAACGCACATGAGAGTTACTCTTCTTCCCTTTTATGGAAAAGTTAATAATAACATAATTCTTCCCTTCCTCAAACCGGACAAAAGGAAACGCCAGTCGGGTTATAAGGCCTCCTACAAAAACCGAAATATTAATTTCTCCAATTCTTAGAAATCAAAGCAAATTTGTAAATCAGAACATTTAGTAACAGTCGCAATACAGTTTTGTGTGTCTAACCTGATCTTTCAGATCTGAATTGACATTTCGGGATAAATGTAGCAATACATGTTACACCGTATCCGAAGAAACGAAGTTCGCGTATTTTTGTAACGTCATCGATTGTTATATTATAGTAGCCTGTGAGAAATGCGGATATTTTAGTTGTAATATTTGAACGCAAACCATTGCCAGAATGCCCAGTACAGGGATCACCGAACAATTTGCCGTTTGCATAGCATTTGTTATCTTTTATGTCAATTGACCATGTTTCATAGCCAAACACACCATAAAAAGTCTAAAATATGAAAATAAATCAAATGCTATTTGCATTAAACTTCTCCTTACGCCAACTCCACCAGTAGCAAATATAAGAGGTTCGGATTTCCCAGACGGTGTTGACACGATTCTTGAACAATTGGAATGAGGCAAATCTGAGCTCTCTCTTCCAGCAATAGCAGTTAACTGCAGCAAGGTAATTATGAAGAGAATGCAAATCATGATTTCATATGGGGGAGTTATCATTTGCCTCAGTGTTATATATGGCAATTGAATAATAACTTGCATATGTTTATTTTGATGAAACGTAGGTATTTATTACATTTAACAAAAGATTTTTATTGGAGCAATATCGCTAGGCCTACGAAATCTACGAATTCCCATCAACCATATTTACCACAATGATTCACGATTATTCGAAGAGAAGTTTGTAAATAATCATCAGCAATTTAAGAGAAGCTAAAGCAAAAGAGGACACTTTGCTGGACATAAGCTAGATTCTACAGCTTTTTGTTTTATTTTCAAACTGTTTAATCATGAATACAAATGGATTGTTTATTCGGAAATGTAAATGCACTACAAATTTTTGAATCCGCGGCTCGGTGTCAATCGTGCACGGACATAAGCATTCACTTGTGAATCTCTAATGACAACACCAGGGGGTTTGGGTAACGATTACTTCTGATGGTGCCAAATCTGGCAAAATCTATTGTTCTAATCACGCATCTCACTTTAAGCAAAATCATGATTGTTCAACACATTTTAAAATATCAATATACGGTTAATGGTGTGTATTGCAAATAATGAGGAGATGTGAAATGTGTTTCACATTATTTTAGTTGACAATTAATAATAAACAGTAGTTAGAATTGTGACTATCAAAGTACAGCACTGAGCAGTGTAGACTTAAGCAAAATACATATAATTAAAAACTGTTAGTAGTGAGCTTGTACTTCTTATTAATCCAATTATAAATTTCGCATTTTACACGTTAGCAATAAGTAAATAAATTAATAAATTATATATATATATATATATATATATATATATGCCGACCCAAAAAATTGTAAATTCCTAAAAGATAAATTTCCCATTTATGGAAAAAGGAATGATTTTAAACGGGTTTTACTAGCACTCACAGCCTTTTTAGTGAACAATATCTAACCATTTGAATTGATTGCTTCAAAATTATTAATAAAAAATCCCCTCACCTTTAAAACGGAATTGATGTCTGGGCTTGTTTCAAGAGCAAATAAATAAGTTATAATATTTAATGCTCACATTTATCGTGACTTTCCCTTTTAGCAAATCACTTTAAAATGTATTCCTTCAAAAATAATTGCAATAATGAAAAGATTTTCGTAAGATCGCCTTTATGCATTAGGGTAAATTTAGTAATATAACTTTCTATTTCAACTGCACTGTTCAAACCAAACTGCACTGAAAATATATTTTTAATTTCTGGGTATTAGCAAGTTGCAACAAATAAGGTATGTAAGTCGATGTGAAAAATATCAGATTTCATTTCGTTTTTAATTTTTTTAATAACCATTTATTAATTTAGGGTGCGCGATAGACTTAACTCCACGTGGTGACCCTGGACAACGTATCTTCGTACGGCAAAATAGTCGATCACTCGGCATTCGATTTGATTTCGATTTATTATGATTAGCTTAAAAAAAGGCTATAAGAAAAATCGCCCTCGTCAGGGCGAATCACAATGTAGTTTTGACTTCGATTACACTCGGCATTCGTTTTGACTTCGATTTATTATGATTAGCGTTAAAAAAGGCTATAAGAGAAATTGCTCTCGTTAAGGCCAATCACAACGTCTTCAGATCCTCCAGTAGAATGCTGGAGGGAAAAAAGGCTATAAGAAAAATCGCCCTCGTCAGGGCGATTCCAACGTCTTCAGATCCTCCAGTGGAATGCTGAAGGAATGTCAGTCTTCAGATCCTCCAGTGGAATGCTGGATGAATGTCTCCGGACAAAAAGATCCAAGTACAGAAAAGGCTGCAAACCTATGATGTAGACATTTTCACAATTATGGAAGCTAACATTTCGGATGACAAACTGAATACAACTATGGAAGCTAACATTTCGGATGACAAACTGAAGTGAGTGGACGTACAGAGGGGAATGTCTCCGGACAAAAAGATCCAAGTACAGAAAAGGCTACAAACCTATGATGTAGACATTTTCACAATTATGGAATCAGGAATGTCGCCGGACAAAAAGATCCAAGTACAGAAAATCCCTAAAGAACATTTAAGTGATGTAGCCATTTTCACAATTATGGAAGCTAACATTTCGGATGCCACCCATTTTCACAATTATGGAAACTAACATTTCGGATGACAAACTGTTCACAATTATGGAAGCTAACATTTCGGATGACAAACTGAATACAACTATGGAAGCTAACATTTCGGATGACAAACTGAAGTGCCACCAATTCCCAGGTTACACCCTGTACCTTCTACCTAAATAAATTCTCAGGTTACACCCTGTACCTTCTACCTAAATACCGGGGCAAACATTTCGGATGACAAACTGAAGTACTACCAATTCATTTACACCCTGTACAATCTACCTAAATACCGGCAAGTTGCACGCAATTCTAACTAATTCTAACGGTAAAAGAAGGCCTCACCTCACACTACGATAGACTGGAGTAATAAAGATCGGCAAGTTGCAAGTGGAATTCTAACTGGAGTAAAAGATGTTGCAAGTGGAATTCTGACTGGAGTTAAAGAAGGCCTCACCCAAGTGGAATTCTAACTGGAGTTAAAGAAGGCCTCACCTCCCACTAAGTGGAATTCTAACTGGAGTAAAAGAAGGCCTCACTTCACAATACGATCTAATCAAGAGTATGGGTTCGACACAAGACAAATGTGAAATATTCAGATGAAAAGTTTGGAAATGTCAAAATCACTTCAAGGTATATGCAGTCTGGGAAATGTCAAAACCACTTCAAGATATATGCAGTCTATAACCAATGTCAAAACCACTTCAAGATATATACAGTCTATAATCCATTGTCAAAACCACTTCAAGGTATATGCAGTCTATAATCCAAAACACAAGACATATGTGAAATAATCAGATTAAATGTTTGGAAATATCACTTCAAGGTATATGCAGTCTATAATCCACCCCAGAATCGTTTCAAGATATATGCAGTCTATAATCCTCCCCAGAATTGTCGAAATGCAGTCTATAATCCACCCCAGAATTGTCCAAAATTTGACATAAATATTTAGAAATGTCAAAACCACTTCAAGATATATGCAACGTTTGGAAATGTCAAAACCACTTCAAGGTATATGCAGTCTGGGAAATGTCAAAACCACTTCAAGATATATGCAGTCTATAACCAATGTCAAAACCACTTCAAGATATATACAGTCTATAATCCATTGTCAAAACCACTTCAAGGTATATGCAGTCTATAATCCAAAACTGTCAAAATCACTTCAAGGTATATGCAGTCTATAATCCACTCCAGAATTATCCTAACTTTGACTTTCTGAACATCTCACACAAAACTAGAGTATTAGAAGACTTCAACGCCCATTCCGGATCTGGCTACATATTAGAACTACAATGGAATCAGAACAACTCCTGATTTACTCTTGGCTTCAAGCCACATCAGTGAGCAAAATAATTGACGATCCTGGTTCTGGTCACAAAACCAGTCATTGCTAGTATTACCATCGGCAGCAAAAGCATGAGCTGGTCAATAGCCACGTCATTGCTAGTATTACCATCGGCAGCAAAAGCATATCAAAGGCGCAAAATAAAGACGATCCTGGTTCTGGTCACAAACCAGTCATGCTAGTATACATCGGCAGCAAAAGCATGACAAGGAAAGTACCAACTAAGCCATCATGGAACTTCATTAGGCTGACTGGTCTAGATTCACAAACCTTTTAGACAATGAACTCCACACAAGTCCTCTCAACTTCAACCAACATCCTGACAAACCATGCACTGCCGAATATTATGATCAGATGTGCAAAGAAAACTATTCCCCTTAACTTCAGCCAACATCCTGACCAACTTTGCACTGCTATCACGAGCAACCACCATCCTGACAAACTTTGCAATGATATTACGAATATCATGATCAGATGTGCAAAAAAAACTATTCCCCGAGGCAAGATCAACTTCAACCAACATCCTGACAAACTATGCACTGCTATCACGAATACTATGATCAGATGTGCAAAGAAAACTATTCCCCGAGGCAAGACTAAACACCTTAAGGAACTGAAAAGAAAGCGGAACGCCTTTCGCCACATTGCTGATCAGACAGGAAAAACGTAAGACGTACAAGCCTGGAGACGACAATCAGCTGCCTTAAGGCAAGCCATCTTACAAGCTAAACGCATTTCTTTCGACAAGTTCATCTCAAATATCAACTATCAAAGTGTTAGCCAACGCACTTTCAAATTCAAAACAACAGGGAAAGACCCAAGAAAGAAGCAATACGCTTATATAACAAATTGTTTACCACCGACACCGAAATAGCTAACTGCTTT